TTGAAGTGGTAATGTCTCTCGGGGTGGGGGCCTTCATGTGTTTCTAGTCCCAAGGCTTTTTTGAAGTTGTAATAGCTTTCTAGTCACTAGGATTATTTTCTTATCTAAAAAGAGCTCCACTATTGTTCTAATCCATAGCTTTTCCAGTAGAGGGGCATGGGTTTGAATAGCTATTGTGCTAGGCTCAGTAATAATAATTTATAGGGAGTTTACAAAAGTCTGAAGTCTGTTCAAGATATATTTGGTTTATAGTTTCTCCATCCTACCCTATGTCCCAGTTCCAATAGCATGTTTTGGGGGTTTATTAGAAATTACACCCAGTTAATTAGACGAAAAACAAGGGATGAAGCTTTCCAGCCTTTCCTTTCCTTCTTCTCCTTTGAATCTGTTACGTCCCTTTTTGAAAAGGTTCAGTTTCCCCTGAATGTTAAAGAGACCACTTTCCTCATATTTAATCTAGTAAACTTCCTCTATATAGTCTACAGCTCCTCTAGACTGAGGCCTGAGATGTCCAGAGTGTAATAAATAAAGAGGTCTTTGTTAATCGAAACGAGCATTGAAGGAGATAAGAATTTGAACTGAGTAGGGAATCTCAAGATGTGTGAGGTGAAGGAGAAAGGGGAGGAAACAGCAAGTATTCTGCTTAAGAATTGTGCAGATGCAAGTAGCATAGAAGACTGTGTAACTAATTATATACAAGTTAACTTGTAGGCCAAGGACAATCTGCAAGGAAGATGAGGAGCCTTCATTCCTATGACCACCAAGGGCAGAAAAAAGACCCCCTAGCAACCAATTGCACCGGCGCAGAGTGCATCGACAGAAAATACATCAACTGGAAAAAAAAAGGGACTATAAAAACAGAAAGGTCAAAAGGGGAAGGTGCACCGTGGCAGAGCAGAGACTCCCTGGCCGCCCAGCGTTGTTCTTTTGCTTAATCCCGCTTGCTTAATAAATTCTTGTTAATTGATTTATCTATAATTAGCCTCCACAATTGAATTTGTCCATAACAAATTTGGTGCCATGACTCGGATAAGGGCGAACGGGTGGGAATTCCTAATCAGGGAGGTGCCCTGCTGCCTCTGCAGCAGCCCTGGTGCAGGCTTTGCATTCCCGGACCCGTACCGACGAACCTAAATTTGGTATTAAGCAAAAGGGATACCGGTAACCCCGTAATCTTTGTGCACGAAGCCCGGGCGAAGACGCAGGACAGCGTGAGTATAAAAGTGGGGATCCGCTTGGTTGGGGTTGGGATCCCAGGACATAACGCATGAGACGTCCTTTTAGGACGAGGCAAGTGCGGACCTCTAAGTAGTGCAGTTTCCAGACCCCGAGAGGGGCTGGGCCACGAACAGGGGGCCGCGAGTGTGTGTGTGCGTGAAGGTGTCCTGGAAGACGGGACAGAGGAAAAGCAAGCCCTCTGCTTCCATGGGGAGGGGGACCCCGCTGAAGCTTCCCCAGATACCCCCTGACAGTCCGTTAGGTCTAATGATAAAATCTTGGGATGAATATCCTTCAAGAAAAGGGAAGGATAAGGCAAAAATGATACATTATTGTATAAAAGTATGGGGAGGGAAACAAATCCGTAGTGATAATTTATTTTGGCCAGTGTTTGGAAGCTTTGAGGACTGGATTTGCCAGGCATTAAACATTTAAAATTTAAACATTTAAAATTTAAACTCTAAAGAACCTTTTGATATGGAAGAGAGCAAGTATGCTGCTCTCTGGATAGTGGGGGGAAACAAGAGCAAAACTTTTTGCCTTAAGCACCCAGGGAGGGAAAAAGAAAAATAAAAAGCCTGAGGAAGTTCCAACTGCACCCCCTCTACCATACATACCTCCCCCTCCTCCACCCCCACCAGCACCACCTGCAGTCTACCCCAATTTGGATCAAGGGGGAGATTTTGATAACCAAGAGGTAGAAATCCTGGAGCCAGTCCCAGAGGAAAATCTCTGCGTTACTCATAGTCTAACAAGGGGGGAAAGAGAAAGGGAAGGGCAAGCTCTATATCCATTAAGGGAAGTAGCTTTGGGAATGATCCCTAAGCCCAATGCTGGTCAGCAGGGACAACCAACCCAAATTCTGGGAATAGGTTATGTGGAGATACCTCTCAATTCAGGAGATGTGAGGGACTTCAAGAAAGAAATGGGAGCATATAAGCCAAATCTTAACGGAATTTTCTGACCCTATAGCCTGGGACTTCCCATGTGAACAAATTCAGAATCCAGCTGAGGTGGAAGAGTACCTGAAAGAGAAATGCCATGATAAGTCTAAGGAGAAAAAGATCATTGCAGTGTTCTGGGCCCTGGCATATGCTTATCTCACCCTGCTAGATACTGTAGGGCAGCAGACAGAGGACGGAGGGCAGGGAGATAAATCAGCAGCTATCCCAGTCACTCAGGCTGCAGCCAACAGCCCAAGCTCGAAGCCAGCAGCTAAACCAGACTGTGAGCCTAAGCTAGGAGCTAAACCAGACTGTAAGCCTCAACCAGTGGCTGTTGCTACGAGCACAATGGGCCAGTGATACCTCAGGCCATCAGGGCAGAGATGCCACCTATAAGTGGGCACGAGAATGAGGGGTGGATCTAACCATGGACAGTATTTCTCAGGTGATCCATGACTGTGAAGCATATACTGTGATCAAGGAGGCCAAGCGATGGAAACCTCTCTGGTATGGTGGGCGGTGGTCCAAGTACAAGTATGGGGAGGCCTGGCAGATTGATTACATCACACTGCCCCAGACACGCCAAGGCAAGTGCTATGTGCTCACAATGGTAAAAGCCACCACAGGATGGTTGGAAAAAGCTCTTTATGGAAAGGATTGTCCAGCCCTGGAACAGAATGCCCAAGGCATTGGTGGCACCCCCATCTCGGCGTGGGGATTTAAAAGCCATGTGGATATGGCACTTGGGGACATGAGTTAGTGGTGGAATTGGTTGGACTCGATCTTTTCCAACCCAAATAATTCTATGATTTTACATGTAGCGGAGAATGTTTACTGTTAGACCTAGAATCTCAGACATTCCCACAGCAGTAATCCAAACGGAGATGTGTAATTAGTAGCATGAGTTGTGGAGACTTCTGAGGCGGGGAAGATGATCTTTAGAATCATGGTATTTGAAACTTTGGAGACTTATGCTTGGATATTTCTTGGACTGCCAGCTCATGGAAACATTATCTTTGGGATCTGTCTCACTGTTTTAAGAGTAACAGTATAAGAGGAAAAAAAAAACAACAAAAACCGAAAGAAAGCAAGAAAACAGAACACTGCTAGAGAACTAAACCTGCTCTGTATGATTGCTTAACTTTGCTAACTTCTGGCAGCTTGAATATTTCCCTTAATCAGAGAGAGCTGAAAGGAATGGACAAGAAAAACCAGACCCTTCCATGTCTGTGGGCATGAACATTGCCGTCCACAAATAAGTGTTCAGGTTAAGACTACCCAGAGACAAGCAGCATTGCATAAGAAGCCAAACAAATACCAAAAACATTTCCTTGGTACTGGAAGCAAAAATGTCTTGAGAAGGAAAATGTAATCGCATCCTACTAATAGTAATTTGCATGTTAGTTAATTTACTTGTACTAAAAATTATGCCAGTCACATGCAGCCCTGCCTCCCTGGGAGGATGGAGCACTGGAGGGAGTGGGGGTGTGGTAATTAGCCAAGTTTTCCTTGGTATCCAGACTGATCCCATTGCTCCGTGTTCTCCTTCTGCTTCTAGGATGGTGCATCAATTCAGACAGCTGGATGCAAAGGTACTTCTGTCCCAGATTGCTCCGGGGAATGTGATTCTCTCTGGTAAAGCAGGGGGTGTGCCATGGCAAGGAAAATGAGCCTCCCAGAGTCGTGTGCAGTCTGTGTCACTGTCACCAGGGCCCCATTTTAACTGGGATTTTTACCGTGCTCTTTTGATTCCATAGCTAGGAGTGTGTAGGGCATGTAGTCATTAGGACAGAAGGGAATGGTTTTGAACTGAGAGCAGGATTAGATGGGATAATGGGAAGAAATTCTTGGCTGTGAGTTTAGGCCCACCCTGGCACAGGGTACCCACAGAAGCTGTGGCTGCCCCTGGATCCCTGGAAGTATCAAAAGCCAGGCTGGATGGGGTTGGAGCAGCCAACAATGAGCTGTGAGGTCCCTTCCAAGCCACAAGAGCTTTATATTGTGCAGGAAAATGAAACAAAGACACTTGCTTAGCACTGGAGGAGTGTTTCTCAATATTCCTTGTGGGATGGAATAAAACAGAAGTAATTTCCATCTTAAACTGCAACATTCAGCTGTCTAACAGGTCCATGAAACGCCAGTGGGAAGAAGGGATGTCACACACCTGACATGTCCCCATCCCAAAGGTGTCTGTCAAGTTTAGCTTCTGGTGGTGTTGGCATGGTGTAATTAAGAAATATAAGGCTACCCATCTACCAGAGAGCACATTATGAGAATTGCCATGCAAATAATCTTTTTATGACTGTGATGTTGAAATGGGTATGTGTGTTCACAGTGGGTATTTTCTGAGGCTTGACTGAATTATCTGTTTGGCCTCTGAAGTGAGGAGTGGCTTTGGTATGAAGCACAGACTTTTTCAGAAGCTCAGGTGAAAAGACCCACATATACTTCAGAGTACGCTTTTTTGTTACTGTCAAATAATTTAGATTGCAAAATAATAGCTTGCTTCCAGACTGAAAGAGAAGTGGTGAGTGAGTCTGTGGCTAGTGATGCTGCTCTTGAAACTGAAAGGAGATCTGCTAACCTTAATTCTCTCCTGAAAAGAAATACCCATCTCTTGCTTCTCTCTTCTGGTAACTGCTGGTTAACTCTCTGAAATAGAGGCATCAGGGCTCGCTGCATTAATTGCCCTGATGAACACTGTACTTGGGACTGTCCTCTCAAGCACTCTTGCATTTGGTGTAATACTTGCAGAGGCAATTACTTGTTACTTTCATTGCTCATTAGCATTGCATTCCTTCAGCTAGATGGACTTTACAAAAATAACCTCCTCCTTTTTTTTTTTTTTTTTTTTTTTTAAGCTCTCTGATTTGAAGGGCCTTCTGAAAGAGATTTCCAGTAAAATTAAATGAGTGGAGCAGAAATTCAAGAGCAGCTACTGGAGCAGGGTAAGCCCACTTTAAATCCATTGTCTGCCTTGAAATCAAGTTACCAGCATTTGTGTTGGTGTTAAATTGGTGTGTCTTTGAAAGAAGAGCTAGTATTAATTGTTGATGGTTATATTCATATTGTCTGATACTGGGGAAGAAAGGAGACCCAAATTCTCTTCCTCAATTATGTTTTTCTTTATGAAAAGTACAGTTTTCCATCTGGGGTTTCTATCAATTTTTGGCACTGTTTAAAATACCTTGTTTTGCTCACTTGCCTCTGAATAACTGTGACTAACCCAAGGTTATTTTAGTTGTCTTTGTGTTGGAGGGCCTCTAGAAAATGAGGAGCTGCTGTGCTGGATCCTTTGCCCTTGGTATCTTTTAACTCTGAAGAGCAGGCAATCCAAATAGAAAAGACAGAAGTGAGGGCAGAAGTAAGGTTTATTTTTCCACTATCAAAGTGGGGCATTAGGCTGGATTGCTGTAGCCTTCCTGTGTCCTGTGCAATAAGCTGCAGTGTGAGGAGCTGACCCAAAGCCTCAGGTCCAGTTTGAGTGTCTGGTCATCGGCCTTGTGTCCATTTGCCTCCTGTTTCAAGAAAGAATTGGTTTGGGTCCCACAGTGGGATGTGAGAGGCAGACAGAATATTGATGCAGAGAACACTGTCACCTTTAGAGACAGAAGGTTAAGAAGTGTAACTGTTGAATGGGATAATCTGGAACAACTTGATCAGCCCGGACCTTACGGCCTGGCTCTTTCTTCCACAGAGCGGTTTTGTCCAAAAGACCTTAAACCTGTGCCAAACATTCCCCAGTCAGCTCACTCTTTTCCTGGGAGAACTGGATATTCACTTGACCTAAGTTCCATTTAGTCATGAATGACTTGCAGCCACCTAATAAAATCTACAAGGATCACCAGTTCCTGGGCTGCTTCTGGGATGTGCTGGACTCCAAGTTGCCTAAAAAATAGGCTGTAAAATAGTGGAACTCTGGAGGCCATTTAGTCCAGTGCTGCTCAAACAGTGCCAGCGCTGATCAAAGGGAGCTGCAGTGTGGCTGGAAAACAGGTTGTAATTAGATACAGTGGGGCAGCCTGGGACAAGGGACGGTAGTTTATGATGGAGCTTGTGGAAAGGGACCTCTCATGATGGATGACAGTGCCTTCAGAAGAATCCTAGAATCCCAGAACGGTTTGGGTTGGAAGGGACCTTAAAGCTCATCCAGTTCCACCCTCTGCCATGGGCAGGGACACCCTCCCCTGGACAAGGCATCCAGTCACCCGAGCTGATGAATCGAGAGGATGAAAGCAAAGCCTTGAGGTGGGCTGGGAGTTCTACTCTCCAATTCTTTCTGTTGCTCACACAGGTACCAATTCATGAAGAATAATTGCTCAGAGCTGGCAGCAACCCCCAAGCAGATGGTAACAGAGGCATCAGAGTATCAATGTCTCAGCAGGAGTCAGCAGGATTTTCTTGCAATTTTTATTTTTGTTGATCAAACAGCCCTTTCTGCTTGTTGCAAGGTTGTGGTGAAACTGGAGATGACTGCTTATCTCCTGACATGATTCCTGTGTTACCCAAACTCTTCTCATCTGCCCTAAGGTCCAGTGGCAGCAATTAGTCCTTGTTAAGCTGCTGTTGCAAATCACTCCTATTTCCAAGAGTTCTGCTGCTTTTGCCAAAATCCCTTTGCTTTTCCATTTCACTTGGAGGGACCTGTGCGTGGCTTTCCTTCAAGCACTAATTGCATGTCTGAATGAATCAATCTCCCTTCCTGTTCTGCCCTGTAGTAGCTGGATCTTGCGTGTTCCTTGCACGGGCTGTCAGACCTGCTGGGGTCTGGAATGCTGGTGTGCCAGAATGCAGTGGATTTCAACATCATCCCCCCCAAGGAAAGCCTTTGGTCCAACCCTGCATCCCTATTTCAGACTGTAAAGGAACATTGTGGGACTTGTTCCCCCTCTACCCAGAACCTTTCAGCAGTGCAGAAGCTCAGCTATTACAGCCCTGCATGGGAGAGACATAAATTTATCTAGGAACTGTTTCTAAGACTTTGTGGGCAATCCTTCCTTGGTTTCAGTCATGAAAATTTGTATTCTGGGAATGCTGGAATTCATTTGACTTTTCAAATGTGTTTGCTGATCTTTGCAGCTGGAAATGGAGAAGAGATTGTTGGAACCTTTAAATAGAGCAGTGCTTGATATGGTCAGGTGGCGCTTTCTGTCTAAAATAGCAGCTGAATTCTGTCACTTTTTTTTTTTTTTTTTTTTGGTATAACTGAGAGCATAGCCAACTGAAGGCACTACAAATAGCATTTATTTACATGGCAAAGCATTGTATCAACCTTCCTTCCCAGTGTCTTGGAATCATGGAATCACAGACTCACCAGAGGAAAGGACCTGCAAGGATCATGGAGGCCAACCCCTGGCCCTGCACAGACACCCCAACAATCCTATCCTATGCATCCCTGAGAGCATTGTTCAAATGTTCCTTGGGCTCTGTCAGCCTGGGGCTGTGCCCGTTCCCTGGGGGAGTCTGGTCAGTGCCCCAGTACCATCTGGGAGAAGAACCTTTTCCTAAAATTCCACCTTACCCTGCCCTGACACAGCTCCAGCCGCTCCCTCAGGTGCTGTCCCTGTCACAGAGAGCAGAGATTGGAGCTGTCCTTTGGGAGAGAGCTGCCAGCCATGCTGAGACCTCCTCCTCTTCTCCAAGCTGAACAAGCCAATTGACCTCAGCTGTTCCTCATACAGCTTCCTCTCCTGGCCCCTCATCATCTTCATTCCCCTCTTTGGATACTCTCTGCAGGCCTTATATCCTTATGATACATTCAGAGAGGTTGCTGCTCTTTTCTCCCTGCATTTCATCACCCAACTGTACTGTATGCTGTGCATGACATCATCCTGGGGGCTCCAGCACTAACAATAGCAGTGGTATTTGTTTTCATGTGGAAATATTTCCTGCTGAAAAGTAAAGGAGCCAGGCTTTCACTGATTCACATGGCAGTTAGCTGCATCATAAATTCTTGAGATAAGGTTCCTTTCTGGAAATTATTTTTCCCATATCATTTGTCTGCCTTGGATGTGAAAATTGTGCTTTTTGTTCACTCCCTTCCTATTTAAAACCTGTGGAATGCTTTCAACCCTTCCGGGAAATCCCAAGGGCCTTGCCTTGGAAGAATATACAATAGTCTCCACCTAGGCTTAAAGAGAAGACTTCTGCCATGGAGCCTTGCAACACCAGGATCCACCCCCGTTCCTTTCCCCCTGTGTCCCAAATTCTTGCGGTATTTCCTTTCCCTGTTTCCTCGTTGGTCCTTGGTCGTGGTATCCCTGGTGGCTGGCCCCGTCTTCCCTGTAGGCCAATGCCCTTTGCCCTGCCCTTTGTGCTGCCCCCGTGCCCTCAGACCATTGGCCACTGACCCCTGCTTAACCTTGTGCAGAGCACATGGCCAGGTCTTTGTCCCTGATCCCTTCAGCCTGGTGGATGCAATAAACCTTTGCTGGAATACATCATAAATAGACCCTTTCTGTCTTTCCTCTGCTGGGCTATGTGTGTGTGTGGACTTGAAATGGCTGTTCTTGTGGCCTTACTCAGAGCAGCTTCTGAAGGTGACACTTTGAAGAAGGCTGCAGCATGTCTAGCACCCTGCCATGTGGCAACAGAAACCTGCTGTGTGCTTGCCTGAAGCTGTAGAGATCTATTGTTGTGTGAATGTAACTGTGAAACCATGTTCTGTAAGGTCTGAATTCTGGAGTCAGTCCATGTCCGGTGCTGCACCCAGGGGCACCAGCCCATGCTGCACACGCTGCTCCCTTCCCAGAGGCCGCACGGGCTCTGCTCCAGGCTCCAGGCTCCTGCCAGGGCCGATGGAGCCGTGGCCTGGTGGGGCTGCGGGGCGGCACCGCGGCTCCCCGGGCAGCAGCCGGCCCTCTGCCCCCTCCAGAGCCAGCGCCAGTGTTTGGTGCCAGCACCTGCACGGTGGGCAGGGGAGCCCTGCAGGCGCTGTTGTCTGGCTGCTGCCAATAAGGGGCAGGGGGCAGAGGCAGGGCTGGCGGCCAGCCCGGGCCCTCGCGGCTGCCCAGGCCAGGTGCTGTGACCGAGGCCCCCCGACACAGAGCTCTGGGCCCGCAGAGCTGCTGCCACCATGGGGAGGGTGGCCAGGTCTCCTGGAGCAGACCTGCGGAGGCACTGCTGCCGCGGTGGCTCTGGACCCCACAGAAACAGCAATGGAACGTGCACAAGAACAGCAGGTCTGCTTGCAGCACTTCCCTTGGCTGCTCCTTTAGGGTGCTTGCACCACACTCAGAGACACAGAACACCTTCTTCTTTTCCTCTGAGTGTTATTCCTGTCCTCTGCACTTTCCCAATGCACCAGGTATTAGCTGCTGGCTTCAACTAGACACACAACCTGCTGCGTTAAACTTTCAACTCGGCTGGTTTTTTATTCCAGAATGCTTTAAAAATGCACAGAAAAGTCCAATGAGATGTGACTGTGTCTCTGTCCTGTGAATTTCACTAGATACTGCAGCTTTTGTGTTGCTGCTAATCCCTTCTATGGAAAAAAATAATTCTAGGGAAGAGCAACATCATCTGACAGACACCAAGTGTTGCCAGCAGTTGCTCCAGGTGCTCCTGCCAACAGCCCCTGCAGGAAGGAGCACAGCCCCCAGTGCACGTGGGTTTGGCTCCCTCTGGCACAGAAGCCCCCCAGGGGCACCGGTCTCTGGGGAAGGAGACGGCAGCAGCCCTGCCAGGGCTCGGGGGTGGCAGGTCTGCTTGGGCAGGGACTCTGCCTCACCTGCTGATGTCAGCGTTCCCCGGGCCCGAGGTCTCAGAGCAGCATTCCTGCCCTGGCCCACAGTTCCTTGTGTGTGCCACACCCACGGTTTTAGGATGGCCATGGGCCATGGCAGCTTCTATGGAAGGTCCCGTGCCCTTCCCAGCGCGGCTGCGTCGCCAGCCCTAGGGGCTCCTTCTGCTGCCCTGAGCCCGCAGAGCAGGGCAGCGTTTGCTGATGGTCTGAGCTGTTCCTAAAGATCCCGTCGGGCTGTCTTAGACACTTGGGGCCTGGGATTCCTTCCAACCTGGGCCACTTTGGGTTGGTAGGGGGTGGCCCCAGGGCAGGTGGCAGTGTTTCCAAGGGCCCTTTGTGACACATGCAGCATGGAATGGAGCCAGGTGTCCAAGGGCCCTTGGTGACACGGTGCAGCATGGAACGGATCCAGGTGTCCAAGGGCCCTTTGTGACACGTGGTGACATAGGAGCTGGAAGTGGCAAGAGCACGCCACAGGGACAGGATGGGACAGAGCGGTGCCGTGAGGAGCCCCCACACAGTGCGCTCGTTCCTGTCCTACCCGGAGCTTTTCTGAGGCATTGTTCCTGCAGCTGACCTCTAGGCCAGACCACAGGACTCGGTGACCTGTGGCCTTCCGAGGCTTCAATTCTGCAGGGGTCCTTGAGGGCAGACCGTGGGACTTGGTGCCCCAGAGTTTTCCAAGGCATCTCTCCTGAGGGTAGCCAGAAATCTGTCACTGACATGTGGCAGGGAGCCCTGAGAGTGCCCAAGCTGACCTGGATGGAGGAGGAAGAAGGCGGCCCTGCAGCTGCCCCAGCACAGGAGACTGAAGAGGTGGTGCCGTTCCATCCACCGCAGGAGGGTGAGTGGCAGAGCCAGGCCACAGGACTGGTGCCTTCAGCCAGCTTGGCCCTATCCCACCCCATCCCGTCACATCCCGTCCTGTCCCATCCCCTGAGGATGTGCCCATGGACAGGCCTGAAGAGGGGCCTGGGCAGATACCCCGCAGTGGCCGTGCTCCATCCACCTGGGGCATCCCGGGGCTGTCCCTGCCTGGGGAGCGCAGGGCTGGGCTGTGTTCTCCGGCCTCTCCTCCAGCTCCTCACTCCTGGCTGCGCTCGCTCTTTGCCAGATGCAGCCCTGGAACAGACACAAGAGCAGGACCCCACCCATGGCCGCTTCCACAGAACAGCACAGGTACCTGCAGCCATCCCCACCTCGGCTGGGCCTGCTGTCACTGCTCAGCCCAGCAGCACGCCTGGAGCACTCCATGGCTTCTTGCCCTTCTCCTACAGCTCATTTGAAAATTCATCAAGAGACTTCGGCAGGAAGAGACCAGCGCCATGAGCCCTGGGCTCAGAGCATGCTCAGAGGTCCTTGGACATGAGACCAGTGCCGCCCTGCTGGATTTGCTTGTGCAAAGGGGTGTTTCCAGAGCAGAGCAAGTAAGCAGCTGTGGCCAGGCTTCACTTCCCCCATGAGTCACACGGCTTCCCAAGCCACTGGTGCTGGCCCCTGTGAGCCTTTGAGGCCATCGCAGTGCGGTGGGAAGGGAAGAACTTCTCTGGGGACACTGGGAACACTGCTCCCTCTCACAGCTTTCCAAGTCTCCCTGTGCCTTCTCCAGATGCCTGTCATGGTGAGATACATCCACCAGTGGCTCATGGCCAATGATTCTGCTGAGCACAGGCTAGACAACACCCTGCTGTATCTCACAGAAGTGCAGACAAATGACGCAGTAATGACACTCCTGCGTGTGGCCCCATCCTGTGACAGGTATGGGGCCCACCTGCCCAGAGGGCTCAGGGCTCACCACAACCCATCGCCCTGTACAGCCTGTGCCAGGTGTCTGACCAACAGAGAGTTCCAGGGCCCTCTGAGTGCTCCCTTTCCCAGCCCTGGTGTATCAGCCCCGAGCCTGCTGCCATGCTCCCTCGTTGCCCCACAGGGGCCTGTCCCCACAGGGCTGGGCTGCCTGAGTGCTGCTGGAGAGGGGTAGTGGGCAAAGGCAGAGCCAGCGGTCAACCCAGGCCTCTAGAGATGCCCAGGCCACGGTGCTGTGTCCTAGACCCCCCTGAGACAGAGCTCTAACCCCGCAGAGCTGCCATGGCCATGTGGAAGACCATCATGTGCATGCCCTGGACTGCAGAGCTGGCACAGCAGATACTCCTGGATGTGCTGGGGAGCTGGCCAGAGCGCAGCACATGCACCTCTGATGGGGACAAAACGCATGTCTTTCCCCTGGCTGTGAATTTCTGCCAGTGGCCTTTGCTGGCCCCAAGGCCGCCTGTCCAGCAGCTCTCCATCCTCCTTCCCCCACTGCATCTCCCTGCCTCAGGCACTGGCCTGAAACCTGGCCTAGGGACAGCTGCAGGGCCACCAGGCCTGCTGCTCCCCCTGTGTCTCTCTGGGCATCTCCCTTCCACGCTCGGGCCATGTCACACGGACACCTTGGCAATGAGTGCTGTATTGGGGGGCTTTGTCCTTTGCAGGCAACTGTGGTGATGTGGAAGATCCTCCAGGAGCCCTGTGTCCCAGATATTGTGATGGTACATTTCCCGCAGTCATCTGCTTTTCCAAGTGTTCTTCAGCACCAAAGAGATGCCAGAGGCAGTTGATACCTTCTGGAAGGGATGCCAGGAAGAACAGGGCCTTGCCACCAGCCCCAACAGGTGCTCCATCATAGTCCTTCTGTCCTTGCCACACAGCCAGGGCAGGAGCCAGTGCTCCCAGTGTGACCCGGGCTTTGCTCTGCACTCAGGTTTGCAGTGAGGACCCTGAAATCCCTGCTCTGCCAAATGGACTATGAGGATGTGGTGGTGTCAATGGAACGCAAGCGTGGCTGGGACACGCTGCTCTGTGCTGACACCCACCATTATGCCGTGGGTCTGCTGGCCAGGTGAGACCCCCTTCTCCCCATTGCTCCCGGCATTTGTGCTCTGTGTCTGGGGTATCCCACTCAGTCCCCGTGGCTGTGGGCCAGAGGGACGAGGGGTGGCCAAGCAGACTGGAAAAGGCTGGGAGAGGAGGTTGCCCAGTAGCAGCCACATCTCAAAGGGCCCAGGTCCCCCTGCAGGGTGGGGAGTAAAGACAAGAAGTGTGTCAGTCTGTCCTGGGAGGGGCTTCCCCCCCCCACCCCGGCTCAGGGTCTTAGTGTCGTAGGAGTGGGCCCCCAGCCGGGTAATCATTATCACTGACTCCATGTATTTCAGAAGTCTGATCAATAATAATCTTTATTAAGAAACCCATTGTTCTTATAGATAGGTATGATATAGGTTGATTTAATTGGTTTTCTAGTCTAAACACTATCACCATTAGTTAATTAAGAAAGCACCCTTTGGTAGACAAATCTCCATAACATATTCCACATGTTCACAATACCAGGTGCAGCATGTTAAGATAAGAATGTTTTTTCATTCTTTCCTCTGATCTTCTCAGACTTTCTCAGGCGATGCCTGGGAAAGTTGTATGTTTCTCTCTGAGGTCAGAGAGCTGCTGCCACATCTTAGTGCAATTTTCTGCCTTCCAGGGAGATGCGCAATGAATCCATCTGCTTGTGCAAAAGCATCTTAGGCTGTCTCCTTGAGTTGCTCAGCAAAGAGATGCCATACTGGAACTTCAGTGCCCTGGCATTCCTTGTGGAGGTGAGTCTGAAGGCCAGCGCTGCCTCCCAGCTCTCTGCCCTCTCGTAGCCACAGCTGCCTGGGACGGTGCCCACGCC